AAAATAAATATTTTTTTTTCATCAAAAAAAAAAAAAAAAAAAAAAGTCCATGTGAATGCCTTTCTTCCAAATGACCATTCCATTCCATCACATCTAATCATTTGTCTCTTCCCTGTGTCTGAATTACATGTGTGTATATTTTAAATGCAGGCATCCTTTAAGTTTCATTTTGGACTCACTCTATTTCTCTCTTTTTGAATGAAATAGATCTTTCCTCCATTCTTAGAGTTGGAAAAGCTTTGACCATTGCATGGATCTCCATCATTCATGCTCTCTTATCTCCTGTGTTTGTGGCCTGAATCACCTCACTTCTTTGCACGGAATCCACCTGGAGTCAGCTACTGAATAGTTATTCTGCCCTTCGCCCCACCTTAAATCATAATTTCATCCACCAGCTCTCCAGATGACATGTATTTTTTTATCCTCAATCATTTACTTTTAGCATGTGCTTTCTGCCACCTAAAAGCATGTAAAAATTCTTAAAATACCTCGTTTTAACTGGAATTACTTGGCGGGATGGGTGTTTGTGCTTTCAGCTCCAAGTGAAACACCGTTTGTTCCTCAGAAACTGGAGAGCTCTACCAGTCCTGAAATGCAACCTACAGTACCTGGTAACTAATGAAATTTATGTGGTTGTGTGCTTTGAAAGAACAGGTAAAATGACAATAAGTGGTCAGTTGTATTGGCCTTTTCATAGTATTTTCAGTACTAAATATTTTTTCTTTATTCTCTCCTGTGACATTCTTCAAAGTCTTATAAGAATTCTCAAGCAATTTCCATGACCCTAATGTCCGTATATGAGAGGACTCCAATTGTTCATGGAAAATGAAATAAAGTACACATTTTGGCACAAGAAAATTTGAAATCTATGTATAGTTTTTTCTTAAAGCACATTTTCTACTTTTTGAAGACCTCTCATATTTCAAAAAATTATTTCCCATCTCTATTTCTTTTAATTTTGCCAACTGCTAAATAGAATTATAGATGATAAGCCATTTCTCTATTATTTATAACACTCAGATACCACTTGATCAGAGAATTGCACCAGAGTAGTAAAAATATAAAGAGCACCAAGCAACCTAGGCAATCCTGGACACAATGAAGAAAGATGGGTAAAAGTGAGGCGACACTACCCACATTTTGTCATAAAGGATTATTGGGATAATAAAGATTTTTTTTTCCCGGGGAGGATAGTAATAAGCTACAGAATTAGAGAAGTTTTGAGATTTGGATGCTCTAAGTCCTACGTATTTCATTTATGCTTCCTCTGCTATCAAGGGCATCCTTTTCCAGTTCTTCACTATACTTAGTGTTCTGCGATGCCTCAAGGGTGCTCTCTTTCTAATACATTTAACTGAACAATGTATCCTCAGTTCTTATGTGGAAATTTAACTTCTCTTAACCTGTTGACACTTACGTATTGACACCTACTATGTAGAAACCACAGTGCGGAACATTCTAGGGATATGGGGAAATAGGAAGTCCATGCACTCCAGAAATTTACAGTTTAGAGGCACAGTCTAACTGGCCCCCGAGAGATATCAAAGTTATATAAAATCTTCCTCTTTCAGCACGCCAGCAAACAACATCTATCCCTTCTACACCTAAGCAACGCCTCAGACCCAAGACACCAAGAACCAAACCTGGTAAATAAATCTCTCTTTAATCTTTCAGGATATACAATCCCTGGTAAATAATGTCTCTCTTCACCATAAAAAGAAGTGATGGGATTCATAGGCTTTTCTAAGTTGGTTTCTTTACAAAATTGGAAATTAACTAAAGATGAATAATTAATCATGCAAAATGACAAAAATCAAATGTCCCTAACAGGTTGTATTGAAAATTACATGGTATGTGTGCATGCGAATTTTGGTATAAGCCTAGATGAAAAAAGTCCTGCCACTGCAAGCATTATAAAAGAAGACACATAGTGTAATCTTTATTTGTTTGTTTGTGTTTTGTCTTGTTTGGAGAGAAGGAAGTGAGAACGAGATCTGCTAGGTCTGTTTTGTTGTGGTTGTTGTTTTGGTTTGCACCTGCATTCAAGTGTGTGTTAGGCTGATGATGGTTCGTTTTGGTGCCTACTATGTTTTCCATTTTGCACGAGGGCGATGGCTGAGATGGAGAGGAAATGACTGGTTTTTAGATAGCTTAGATATTCAAGAAGATAAGATGTAGCAATAGGACTGTAACAGAAGATTAAATAGTTTATTTCTGAGACTACAATATTTGCATAGAAGCTCTGAGAAGTAAAATGGAAGATGCAGGTCAGAAAATATATGTATTATTTGGACAGAGGGAAGGGGAGAGGGAAACAATGTACTAGAGGACTTCAAAAACGTTCATGAAAAAATACATTTGAAGTGCGGGTTTATTTTGATGCAAACATTTTTGAAATCTGTGCACAGTATTCACATTCACATTTTCCACAAAATCTTTGAAGACCCCTTGTATATGACAGCACAAAATTTGGAGGTACAGCTAGCATATTAACCTGGAGGTGGTGTTCCTCATCATCAAATAATATACTCAAAGCAGTGCTTGGCAAACTGGGTTTCGCTTATTCCACTGTAATATAAATACAAATTTGTATAACCTATACTGTTATGACAGTTTAAAAATTCTTTCCCAAGACTTTTACTCACTGCATACTTGTTAACACTGACTGCCAAATATGGCACGATCTTAAACAGGTTATTCAGTTCCTCTTTGGAGAAAATCTTTTTATTGTCTATACACTATTTCAATATTTTCTTTTCCTTTTTATCATCAGAAAGAACCACCAGAGCTGGAACAATTGCATCTAAAATTTCTAAAAGCCCTGAACCTACACGGACAACACTAGGTATTAATGATATGTACTTAAGAGATGTGTTGCTTCATTTTACCATGGAAAAATCCAGGACCCCAGTTTTTATACTTTATCTCAGTAACTATTTAAAATGGTTAATTTGGAAATACTATTGGATCATCAGGGAAGTCATGATGCATTTTTGTATAGAAAAATACGTCATGACTTTCCTGATGACCTAATATTTAAAATGGTTCATTTGGACTCTGTCATAATGTACACCAACTTTATAACTAGCGTGATTATAGACAGCTGACTCTACAGTCACTACCTGTGACATCAGCATTCAGACAGCATCTGAATATACCAGATGTTGAGCCACTGTTACTTCCTTCTCTTCTAGCCGATCACTGTATTTGAAATTGGATCTTGTATATAATTATCCTTCTCCTCTAATCCCAGAGCTATTTTATTTTATTATTTTTTACATTTAATCATTGTACAACGTCACAGTGTACAATATGGATTTTTCAAAGCATATATGCATTGCATATTGTTCAAGGCAAAAATATTACTATATATACCATCAGACTTCATTTGGAAGAACAACTCTTTATTTTGGTGTTAGTAGAATTTCTTTGCACTCCAGGTCATAGCATTACTCTCATTCGTGAATATTAATTTTAAAATGCATTTTTTCCATATAATGTTTAAAACTTTCACATTTTAAGGCAAATAATTAGATTTTTTTAATCATGGGTTAAAATCACTGTCTTTACTTGAGTGGTTATTGTGACTATTTAGTGGCAATGCTACATCTATTAGGTTAAATATACTCTAGAAATGTCTTTTCAAAATAGATGACAGTTTACCATTGTCATCAGGAAATGCTGACCTGTGAATGGATCATGACTTTAAGATGGAGGTCTTCCCAGGACATGCTCCTTCTCCCTCCTTCTCCCAGCTGGTACTACAGACACTCACCACCATAGCTGGTTCTTTTTCACACAAGCTCTTGCTAAATTGCCCTGATCAGCCTTGAGTTCACCATCTTCCTGCCTCAGCTTCCTGGAGTCACTGGGATTACAGGCACACACCACTGTACTGAGCTATTACAGACCAGGAATAGAGCCAAAGTCTCCCACATGGTCTTAACCAAAGTCTCCCATAGGATCTTAGAGGTACACTCGACAGCCAGGCTATGAAATGTGTTTTAATGAAGTCTTTTCAAAAGCTTCCGAGATGATGAGTTCATTCCACTAATAGAGTTTATTTTCAGGTTTTCCTTCTGTGGTTTTAGATACTGAAATGCCTAAATATTGATTTGTCAATTATTTTATTTTATTTTTTCCAGCTCCCAGTAAAACACAATTTATTCCTTTGAAACCTAAAATCCCTCTCAGCCCAGAAGGGACATACACCAAACCTGGTAATTACCCTAAACTTTTCCTTCTTAATTCCAAAACTAGGGTTGAAGACTTGTTTTATACAACTCTATGGAGTAAGAATTTGTGTTCATATTTTGGTATTTGTTACATTTTTCCATGGAAAGTGCAGATATGCAATGAAATGATCTCAACTTAACCAGCTTCTCAGATATTATCACAGCTTTGTTCTGTGTTGTGCTGGTGCGTGTGTTCAAGACCACAGCTGAGAAAAAAAGAAGTGTAACGATGTAGATGATTGAAGAAGGCCTTGTCTAGGACTACTGCATAGTTTCCAGTACCAAAGTTGACTGGAATTCTGATCGCACTGAACAATAGCCCTTCAGTTGGTAAGGGGAGAAGTGTTTCCATTCTCTAACAACTCTGCCTTATTTTGGGGGTTCTCTGTTCTCAGCCAGTAAGACCAGAAATACTCTATTTAGCTAATGCTTCAAACTTCCCCATTGGGGCCAAGTTCTGAACACTGATTTCTTTTACCTCTCAGGAAATTTTAATGGTGTTTGACTAAAGAAAAGACGGTTCTTTTGCCAAAAAAGATTATTTATATATAATCTCACTGTCTCTTTAAGGGGAGTTTTATGTGGATATATGTATGTGACTATATATATGCATGTGTATATACATATATACACATGCATGTATATATACATACACACATATATACACATATTTTTCTATAATTTTTATACATATATATTTTAAAACAAGGTAATTCTCCACATATGAATTGTGAAACATACTGAATGACCAAATCTGTACATTTTCTATGTATTTAGAATCTATATAACAGTCTTAAATGTTGAGCTGTGAAATTGGCTTTGGAGAACTGTGTTACTCCTTGTCAATGTCATCTAAATTGTAAATCCTTATCTTTGGGAAAAATCTATTTCTTACTGTAATATTTAATGAACTTTTTAAATTACATTGCCATTAATGGCCTATTTACAAAGTAGGATTATTAAAATAAAGAGATTTTTCTGCTTAAGTGGCCATGATTTATTTTTGCAATGTAATGTGTAAAGGAAGAACAATATAACTTTTCAGAAAAAGAATTCTCATAATTCCCTTTAAAGAGACAGATTTCCAGGTATGGGTGGCAGACTGAAGGGAATTGGGAATTAGGCAAAGGGGGTATATTTCACACTGTGACATGGGTGAAGATCTAAGAGAAATGTAATGGAAAACTCTCACCCGAAGGTAATTTGGAGGAAGAAGCATAGCTAATAAAACCCAAAATCTCTAGCAGTTTAAATCAGAGCTCTGACTACCATATGACAGAATGTTTTCATGTATATTTATATAAAAAATCACATTTAGGGAACTTTGGAATAAGGCAGTAACTGTTATATTTGTGCTGCATTTTAAAGAGAGGGCTAATGCCGAGCCAATTACTGTATATGTGGACTACCAAATTTAAATAGGTGTTTCTCCAATGTAATTATTTCTGTGATGACAAGATAAAGTTTGAAAATATCAAAAAAGTTTTCCAAATGTTGGCTTCAGTTTATACATGATAAGGTATATTGTTAATCTCAGTGGTTTCTGAGAATAGATTCCTGAGAGGAAATTTATTAATACAAGTAAGGATGGGAGGGTATGTTCTTATCGTCCTTAGATGTTTGAGCAAAGAGACTTCTTAATTTGACATTTCCTTTTAAAGTAGGAAAAAATCATTTGGAAACTAATGTGTTTATATTCCTTTAATTTCCAAACCTTCTAATCACCTAGGAATATCCACCCTTTTTCCCTTCACAGCAAGTATAACCACTTCAAAGTTGACCTTGAGTGGTCTCAGGATCTGCGAAGTACCAACCAATCCCTGAAAACTGTTGCTTTGGTTTCAACTCCTTGAATTTTTTATTTATTTATTTTTATTTTAGGGCAGGCTGCCTTTATAGCTCTACTGACTTTCTGTTCCTAGCCAACATTTAGAAGAACAAATAAACCACCCAAAGCTTTCTGATTTGAGTAATTCCTGCCTTCCTTAGCCTCCTCCTCACAGGTTCCAATATTTCCATTTCACTTTCCAGGCAGGCTGCTTTCCCTTCCATTTTCCTTGGTGGCTAAGTTAATGAGCAAATCCACATTGGTTTGCCTGCTTCATAAGGCACACTCCAGCGCATTTCTCAAAAACCACAGCCACCTACCATGTCCCAACTCGTCTACCTCACCTGATGAGAATTGGTTCCTTCCTGATTTAATCTCTGAGGTGGTAATCACATTGGGCTCTCCAAGCTTCTAATGGACTGAAAAAAAAGTGAGGAGCCCAACTACAAGTGTTTGTTTTACACAGCTGTCTGACACGGTGCATGGAGATATAAACTGTTCTCATTACTAACCACACATGAGCAAGTAGGACTTGGCTTTGTTTTAGGCTGAGGTGAGTGGCTTAGTCATTTGCAGACTGCTCTGCTTTCATAGGGAATGTTTTATACCATTAACATCTTAAATAGATGAATAGAGGAAGTCTGGTCAGATGCGTGTGTTTATCTGAACATTGACTTCACTAGTTCATGTTTGTTTTGATTTTTGCCACAGGGTGCATGTGTTCACCTGAAAGAGACAGAATATAGAAAGTGAGAAATCATCCCCCAAGGGATGGACACACTGCCATCCCTTCTCCTCCAATCTCCTTTTGAGATTTAGACACACAGTTGGCATGATTTTCAAGCCACCAGGGCTGGGACTCAAACTGCAGTTAGCCATGTGAGAGTCCAGAGCCTTTACCACCACACTGCCTGCTGACCCAACCCAACTTTACTCTTTTTTGTATGTAATTGAATTTGAAGCTTAATTGAGATTCTATCCCTATTTGGAACCTGTCTCCACCCATAACTTAAAAAAAAAAAAAAAGGAAAGAAAAAAAGCAGTTTTTTTTTTTTCTTTATAAAATTCAGAAAATAACACTCTTTAATCTTTGTGAAGGCTAAAAGATTCTGCAAGTAGAAAATCTTTATTTTTTCACTTTTAAAAAGCATCTTTGTAGAAACAAAAATATGAATTACAACTTTAAAATTTCCAAAGAAATTTTATTTAGTATTTTCAGGCATGGATGCTTTCTTGGTATTTATAATAGTTTATAGTTTATAATATATTAATGCTTATTTTCCTATACAATCTGACATACCCAAATGTGTCTTGCTCTCTCTCTCTCTCTTCCTCTCCCTCTCTTTCACACACACACACACACACCTCTCCCTCCTCAACTCCCCTCACGTTTTTACTGTACTATGTGTAGTTTTGCTTCAATATGATGAATTACTACTACTTTGCAATTCAGCTGTTATAATCTATTTGAGGAAAAATTTTTGACAAAAACACAATTCTGGTTTTCTTTATGTACTGCCTTTTAACTTTGTTCTTTCACACTTAATTTTACTCTTCTGTAGGCTCACACAGTTTTGTTTTATTTTGCCACAAGCATGCTAGTAAATTATGATTTAAATATTATCTCGTGCTATTACACATTGCTTTCAGAAAAAATGAAAATTCTATATCTGTATTGTTATCTTTTCTTTTTCAGTTGCTATAAAATAGTTAACTGCTATATAGAAACTACTGTTGCTAGGGTTTCATTTTTAGTCATTACTTGCCTCCACTAACCCTGGCAAACTTCCTAGAAGTATCAAAGATAAATTCTGATTAAGGTAATATTAGAAATGTGTAAATACCACAATAATTTAAGTTTTGTTAAAATCGGGAGACCAACAGATGGCATAATGGTTACATCGCTAGACTCTCACATAGTTGACCACGGTTCAAGCCCTGAACCCGGCAGCTTAAAACTCATGCCAGGTGCATGTGCATGTGTGCCCAAAATCCTGAGAGAAGAATGAAGGAGAAGGGACTGGACTGTGGTGTGACCATCCCCCCTGGGGGAGGAGTGGTTTCTCACTTTCTCTCTCTCTCTCTCTCTCTCTCTCTCTCTCTGTCTCTCAGGCAAGTGCACATGCCCTATAGCAAAAGTCTCTATCAAAAAAAAAAAAAGTCAATGAGGGCCCATAGGTCACGCTGTGGAGGTTAAGGCACTGGATCCCACGTGGTGGACTGTGATCAAGTAGGCTTGAAAATCATGCCAGGGCATGTGTGTGCTTGCCCAAAATCCAAGAAGGAGAATGAAGGAGAAAGAATTGCTGCATGGCCTTCTCCCCAGGAATGATTCATCACTTTCCCTCTCTCTATCTCTTTCCATCAAGCGCATGCACCCTATGGCAAAAACAAAACAAATCAATCAGTGCTACATTAATTTATTTCTGTAAGAAAAAAGGGAAAGAATTTTTACTTTTTTTTTCTACTTCAAAACTAGTTCCTCTTTCTTTTCTTCTTGAAAGAAAATAATCTGCTTTGAATTGAACAATAAGAAGAAATATATTCTTTTAAAAAGTCCAAATAGATACTGTAAACTTCATTCAGCATGAAGTGTAACTTACTTACTGGCAGTATGAAATGAAAGTCAGAGGGTCTGCTATATGTGAATAAATATCATTTGTTCTTCAATTTAGTCAGTATATGACAAATCTGAGACAGCTTTCCGACTCCTGTAGATGGACTAACTCTTAAAATGGTTCCATTTCACACGTGAGCCAATTTGTCTAACAGCAAGAGATGTTACGAAGCATGAGAACATCTTACAAACCCTGGTGCCTTTTGGACCATAAGTATAATTCCTATTTTTCATCGAAGAACCTTGGATCAAGCCAAGATGGAAATCATTCACAACTAGCAGAGCATAAACATGGTAACCGGCCCGGTGGGCTGATGCCCTTCCTGCTCTCTTGGATGAATCTGGCTCTTAAAGAAACGACATGGTGGATAGCAGAATACCTAGAACAACCAGAGAGGCTACCTTGAACTCCCTTTAGATGAGCATTTCCTGAGCCAGGGGCCATCTTCAGAATACATGGTATTGGGGGCAATAGCTAAAGAGCAATAAAAATGAGAATTCTCAATTCCCTCTTTATTGTGGCCTAATGGTGAGGACGTAGAGGGTCATTGAGCTTCATTGTCATATACCAGAAGAACCTAAAGTTTCACCAAAGAAAGATCACTTTTTATGGTTAAAAAAATAATTTGGGGGCCACTAGGTGACATGATAGTTGAGGTACTGGACTCACGGTTGACTGTGGTTCAAGCCCTGGACCTGATAGCTTGCTTTCTCACTTTCCCTCTCTTTCTGTCTCTGGTGAGTACATGTGCCCCATAGTAAATCGAATGTAATAATAATAAGATTAAATAAATCTTCTTAAAAAAATAATTTCTTGGGCAGTAGGTGTCATGGTGATTAAGGCACTGGATCCCACAGGGATCTCTGCAGTTCAAGCCCTGATACAGATACTTGAAAAATGCACCAAGCATGTGTGCATGCATGTCTAAAATCTCAAGAGAAGAGAGAAGGGATTATGGCATGGTTATTGCCCTTGGTGGGGATAGGGGGTGATTTCTCACTTTCCCCTTTCCCTCTCTCTGTGTCTCTCTCCAGAGAGTGCATGTACCTTATAGCAAAAAATCTTTTAAAAAATAATAATAATAGCAATTTATATCTTACTGCTTTTCAGCATGGCTTTTGATATTCCTCCTTGCTTTTCTTGCAGCCCCAGAACCACAGACTCTACCACCATCACAGCAAACAATAGGTAATGAAGTTTTCTTTTCCTAGTGAAAGTTTTTTTTTTTCTCTACTACCATCTCTGTCCAATTTTGTCTTTACCTTTGGCACTCTTTGCCTATGTTTGACTAAGCAGAGGCTCTGAGACAGGCAAGAAAGCCACTGTGGTTTTGGGTAGACACATTCTTTGTGTGTATATTCTCAAGAATATGTCCTGAGCGTGTTCTAGTCTACGTATTGCCAGTGGAGGACCCTGGCTTCTCTTGGACATATGAAAACTTTCACTTTTGGAGGTGTTTTTCTTTCTTTCACAACTCAACCATTTATAGATTTTCTTGAAAAGCACTCTAGTCTTTCCAGATCTTCATCCTTTGATGTGTCATTAGGAAATTCTTTCAAAGAGAGAAATAGAAAAACAACCTCAATCTTTATAGCTTCTTTTTCTTCAAAAGAGCAAAATATGGGAACCAGCAGTTAGCGTAATGGCTATGTCGCTGGACTCCCACATAGTCGACCGTGGTTCGTGTCCCAGACCCGGTGGCTTAAAACTCACGCCGGGCGCGTGTGCATGCGTGCCCAAGATTCCGAGAGGAGAATGGAGGAGAAGGGATTGCGGCGTGACC